CCCTCCCCCGGCGATATTAGTTCCACGCCCGCGGCTGATCGGCCAAACTCACCTTATATTCATTATTACAGTATTATATTCAATATACTTTTATGTACTCAGCGGTGGATTAACGGTTGATTGAATTTTTATATGACGGCTCTGGTTCAAGTGACTTCTTTTCATTTCGGCCAGTAAAGCTGGCTAGTCAACATGGTGCCTTAGAATCATTTGTTTACTTCTCAAATGTTGAATAGTGATCTTACGTTGAAATTATTTTTAGAGGGACGCTATCATGTTTCTTTTTGAATCAAAATCTTGCCCATTCAAGGGAAAAGTCAATTTGGAGAAATGGAAATGTCTTACACAGTCTATAGTATGAAACCCTTTCCCTGTATAATCACTGACTGATTTATTAATAACTAGCTTCTGCCCGCGACTTCGTACGCGCAATCCCGTTTACTCCCTTTCCCATAAGATTTTCAGGATTTTTTTTCTATCATAAGAACCTTCTCCTGACAATAACAAACGCAACAAAAAAAATCAGCCAAATCGGTCCAGCCATTCTCAAGTTATGGCGTGATATATAGAGATTAAGAAATATAAATATCGGGTAGTAATTATAACTAGAAGTAAGCAAATCCTATTAATGTAAATTTAGCTTAGGTAATCAAAAATGATAAAATAATCATCCAATCATATCTACTCGAAAACCACAACCTAAAAACAAGCAAGAGGTAAAAACTAAAAACTAACAAGCAACCAATGACTTTCATTAGTCATACGTACTTAAAGTTACCCACCCACTGATACAACAGGTTAGAAGTCGTTCGTGTAAAGGTTTAAAGTTGTAATCTCTACAAATTATTAAAGACCAAGTACCAAGTACCTACTGTCAGTCGTTGAGGAGTCATCTAGGAATAAATATTTCCTCAATATAAATAACTAGCTTTTACCCGCGGCTTCACTCGCGTCACAAAAGGATAAAAAGCCAATGTGACATATACCAATACACACAGCGCCATCTATACCAATATTTTTGTTTTCTCTCGGGAATATCGAATTTTTCCGGGTTAAAAAATACCCTGTCATTATTAAATGACAGGGTCCGGATTACCGGACTTCTAACTTTACGTCTGCAAAATTTCAAAGCAATCAGTTTAGTAGTTACGGCGTTATAGTGGAACAAACAAACTCACTTTCTGATTTATAATATTAGTAAGGATTTAAGCACAAACACGGGGTCATTGCTGCAAATTTTCGAGGAGTTCCCTCGACTGTCTCTTGACTCCATCATCAGACCAATTCCATACCTTCATCAAATTGTAGGAGCTTCATATGCTATATCAAAAAATTAACAAACGCTCGCGCCGCCCCTACAATAATTTTGAATAGTTCCCCTCGATTTCCATGGGATCTCATCATCAGATCCTGACCTGTGTGAAAATGGGACCACTCCGAGAGTATAACCATTCCAACAAAAGAATAATCATCAAAATTATCAAACTCCCAAGAAATCGGGTAAAATACACACAATAAAGAAACATACAGTCGAATTGATAATCTCCTCCTTTTTGGGAATTCGGTTAAATGAATTTCTAAAAGAAGTACGCTCAACTTTGAGCTACATGCGAAAATGTAATTAAGAATTTAATAATATTGAACACCAATGAATAAATCAAGCACTAAACGTCTTGCATTAATTGAATTACGAATGAACATTACAATTCCCAAAGTCTCGATAAAATTAAAATTAAATCAACAAACAAATGACTTCTCACGAAAGTTAATATTCACTGAATTGAAGTTAATGTGTGCAAATATGAGCGCTTAAGGTCTACGGGTCGCTTTGTACCGGACCATTCGCGAATTACCGTGTTACGCGAACGAGGGTTAATGATGATGTTATGCCAATATAGTTTGGCGTGGGAAAAGGGTCCCATTGTGTGCCAATTAGTTCGTTTTCAATGCAACTCTGAATGTCAATGGCGCTATTGGGTTGATATTGATTTTTGTAAATGGCTAATTTTATATGGTTTAATTAATAGTTCACAATTTTAGTGTCGGTTTTATTAATTAGTTCGCTTCGTTGGTTGTGTGGTTGTAAGTAAAGAATTCTGAAAAGTTTTTTTTTTTTTGAGGGGGGAAAATCATCCAATGACTTCTCCCGCCTGGGTGAGCCGAGAGGGAGTGTCAGACTCTTACTGACTAAAAACCGACCCGTTCCTACTCCTGCACTTTGAGCTGGAGCCCCGGCAACCCGTTAAGTCTTCCACGGCTCCGTATCGGCATCAGCCCTGTTGGGCCCCATCTGTGGTGGTCTGACGGCTCCTTGAGGCGTGCGCAATTCGACGCGCCGTACGCTCGAGCTTGGTTCTGGTCGGGCGGCGAGTCACTCGTGCTTGCCGTCCGCAGGCCCTCCGATAAGAACCTAGCTCGAGGAAGTTGCCAGTTATTCACCAGAAAACCAATACCAAATCCGAAGATCTTGTTATCGATAAGACTCCAGCGAACTAACACGATACAGTTAATCGAGTAAATATCGATATAATACAATATTATCGATATAAATATTGATATAAACTTTATTATCGCGGCTACACGTGGCCACTCGAGCCGTGAGACCCGCCACGTGACTGATAATCATGATCATTGTCTATTTAAACACCTGACGATTTAGCACTGACGATCTGAACCAGTGTTTGCATTGAAATCCTTTATTTGACTATAGTATAATGCTGTTATCAATCCTATTTAGTGTTATTAAAATTGGGATTAACTTCTTCATTGCTTAACAATAACGGTTTGCTACATACGTACATACCAGATTTAAACCTCCGGGTCACCACGACTGACATGATGACCAATCATAATCGGATATTTTTTGTTTAAGAACCATCAATGTCCCAGATTGTCATCGGATTTAGTTCTTTTACAGTTCGGATTTGGCCACGAAATGTAGTTTATTAATGGACTGGATGCACTGAATGGAAAAAATCACAACCAGAAAATCTTAAAGATGAAAATCAGACTTCAAAGTAGTCTACAGATTTTATCATATGCGTTACTGCTCGTGGTCGTGGTGGCCCGGAGGTTTAAATCGCCAGCTTTTCATACATGAGGGTGCGAGTTCTAAACCTACCAACGGCAAGTACCAATGTGACGTTTTCAGAGTTACATGTACTTTCTAAGATTATTTAGACACCACTGACAAACGATGAAGGAAAACATCATGAGGAAACCTGGGGTTTTAATTTCTAATTATAAATTTAAAATTGAGCAAGCATGGTGATTAATGGTCAAACCTTTACCGCCTGAGAAGAGGCTTTGCTTAGCTGTGGGCATTTATAGGCTGTTGATGCTGATGGCGATGATGTTACTGCAAAAAATTAAGTTATCAGACAGCATAGGAATTCATGGCATCCCATGAAATTGTGTCAGACTCGAAAAGACAATTATAGCACTATTCGATTTTATTTTAAAACTCAACTAAGAAATGAAACGAAGCAAGTAAAAATATAATGGTCGACTATTCAAAAATAAACAAACAAAGCTTATCGTTTAAACTAACACCAAACGTCCATCAAGTGTTAATATATCTAATGTGTATTTCGTTCACAATAATTATCCCTTATTTTCCATATAAATTACATAGACTATGTACAATAAATGTTAGATAGGGCGTCAGCTGTCGTTTCCCTCGGAATGATGGATGGTATAATAACACCATTATCATTATATATCAGTATATTAAATTTACACCTCAATGACGTCACAAATTATCAGAAAATGAGCTTCATTATACTCGAGCGATAAGTTTCGCGATATCAATGTAATTGGTCCTTAATACTGCGTTTATTGTTTTAGGGTGATATCTTGTATATTGACTTTTGTGAGTAATCGCTTTCGGATAATAATGTAACGAAGTTTTGTATTACGTACTATGTGACTGTAATAATAAATGATACCTAGTCATTATAGTAAGCGTTGTATATGTTTTGTTATAATGACGGTGTCGTTAATCGATTGGTTATAATAAGCGACTGAATATTGTACCATTGGGGTCCCTGATTTAAAGTTCGAATCGGATAAAGTAAAGAAAAGTATACTATCGAGCTATCGAGTATAGTAGCTAAGTCGATAATAACTCAATGAATTGCTTTTTGAATTTATAACAATTAACGATTAATCTCGTTCCTTCTTCCTTTCTCTGGTGTTCTTTGAAGACACATCAGATGTACTGTTCTTTAAATCGAGCAAAAGTCATTGTTTCCGTAGTTAAGAAAATCACCGGCTACCGGTTCCCAAGGCTGCAATCTGGATCTTCAAACGATAATTGCACGCAAAATAGTTCCGGTAATCACGTGGGCTCATACAACTACCCCTGTTATAATATGCACCCATGACCCCTCTTGGCGTAGTCGGGTAAATCTGCAAGCCGTTGCAGTTAATCTGCAACGTTAACGAGAGGTACACAGCGCTTAATTGGACAGATACGTTGAATTATCTACAGGCCGTTTTCAAAATGAAGTTGTTTTATTGATTCTCAGATTTTTATTATTTTTGAAATATCATACATACAAAAGATCTTTCTTTCTAGTTATTTTTTATGGACACTCTATAGTGTCAACTTTGTTTTATTGAAATGGAGTACCTACGTCATCTTTAAACTGAAAGTTAACTCGCAGGAAAAATTTACTCATTAAATATTTCCATACTATTTTGGGGCAAAGGACAAAATATGAAATGTTGACAGTAATTATGAAATGTAATCTTCAGTAATCTATTCCATCGTTTTCAATCACCAAGTCCTATAATTTATGAGCGTCCGAGGAAATTGACATCCGGAGAAGAGAAAGCATCACCCCGTATTTCTCTTTAGGAAGCCAATCGAAATAATTGGCGTGTAACGATCAATTAGACGGATCTGTGCACCACGTCCATACTGTTTCACATAGCCGTCGTCCTTTGAGGCGGATCCGAGGAGCGAGGCAAGCGGACCCCATCGGGTAGTGTGAGCTATGATTCGGTTACTTCTGATTATTGCCGGCTTGGTGGCGACTGTCCTGGGGTATGGTGAAGGTAAACTGATTGTCAATTTTTTTAGTTAAGCTAGTATATAAATTTGTTTGTTATGATTAGGGTCAAATGTAACTGGTTACAATAGAAAATTGAATAAGCAGGTTAGAAGGTTGTAAAGTACCTATAGCAAGCTAGTCTAAGTGATCGTCATAAAATATGGAAACTCAGTTGAATCTGGTTTACGAATTCCAAATTAACTGGAAAGTTGAATGAATGTATGGCTATTGACTTAAAAAAGTTCTTGAACTTGTTACCTTATGATTTTTATATCAAACAAAAAATAATAAAATTTTATTGTTTAGATCCTCGTGTGGGTCGCAGTCGGGGTGCTCCCATGCCGGGCACGTTGAGTTCTGTCGGCGGTGGCGGGGAGGAGTCACCTCCCATCTACAAACCTGGGAGTCAAGCGTGAGTTACTTACACTGGCTTACACCGAAGATATGATTGTTGTCTTCTCCTAACCTTTCTCCTGCGAGTTAACTTTAAGTTTAAAGCTGATGTGGTCACTAACGTCAAATGGATATATCATGTTTATCACACTGATATTGACAAAACGATGATCGTGGAATTTAGTAGCAAGTGCGTTTCAGCCCTTTACTTTACTCCTGTTCAATCAATTTCGCAATATTCTCAAGGTTATTTTTTTTTCAATCTCTTTGACTTGATTTAGGTATTGGTGTTGCATTGTTCTCACACAACCGAACCAACAAAACTTTGTAACTAGATAATTGCATTGTAAACACGATTGAAAAAGAGTATCCTATAGAGTTTCTTGCTCATTCTTCTCCATAGGAATCTACACCTTGGAATGAGCAACTAGCTTCACTTCAAAATTTTTGTTGTTGACGTTCAAAAGTGCCTTCCTGGTCTAATTGAAATAAATGATTTTGACTTTGACTTTGACTCTTAACGTAACATTTTTCAAACAGCTACGTAGTCTCTCAGTTCGTAAAACCAAAGCCTCCTCATCAATACTGGGAGGAAGAGACCTCTCTAACCATTATCCCGGAGAACAAGAATTGTCTGCTGTGTGAGGCACAGGACACCGGCGCCTGTCGAGCCATGCCGTCCTGCGTGTACTGCGAGCCTACTGTCACCGCCTTGTGCGAGCGAAGCACACCTTGTCTTAGGTGCACTGGTAAGGGATTTGCAATCTTATTAGTGTAGTTTGAAGCTTAAAATAGAATTTACTGCAAAATGTGCGTGAGTTACAAAACTTGAAGGTATTATGAAGAGAAAATGTTATGACAAAGTTGTGGTACCTATTTAATTAATCCCTAGCTATTAGTGGGAGAACAATAATAAGCTACTGATTTTTAGTGAGTTGCCTCAGCTCTTGAACAAGTTACATATAAATGGACCCTTAATAGTTTGCCACAGTCAATTCCAGCGGTGCGGCGACAAAAAAAAATGAACTTATCATATGGCATCATGTTTTCGTAATCAATATAAGTTGATTTGAGTTTTTTTGCTAACAATTTTTCAACAGGCGTTATGTAATATAAAACAACGATTGCACGGTTGCAGATCTGTTGAGCTGCTTCTATATCTATTGTATTTTTTAATAAGTCTGGCAACTTAAGCAATAAGACGACACAAAGAAATACTTAGATAAAAATACATTTAGGTGGGTTCATTGTTGTGTTCGCGCCCATGATAAAATCTTTTTGAAACATTTGTATGAATTTTGAGTAGTAGTACAATGAATGGGCTAATACAATAATATTTAGATTTTGCAAACAATAATAATTTTTAAATTGGGTTACATAAAATTGAATTTAATATAATTATCCCTTCAAGTTTGTGTACCTAAGCATAGATATAAATATGTTTGTGACTGAAAGGCTACCGGCTACTCAATTTTAAGTTGTAGATACTTTGTACCTAGGTACTTATCATGCCATCTCTGTCATTTTACAAAAAAAAAATTAGTGACAAAAAGATACTAAGCGCAACTTAAAATGAAGTAACGTATGTGTATTTCGACATTAGTTAGATATTTGAAATTTGACTTCAGACACTTCAAATTACAATAATCGTTTCGTATTTCCCAGTTATAAAGAATCCGTTCTTCAAGTGCAGTCCTGGTGAGAAGTACATGGATGAGTGTGACTCCTGCCGCTGCACGGACGGCCACGACGGCTGGTGCACCAACCAATTCTGCGAGTTCCGATCACTTCACCTATACGCCATGAAACTAAGCGACAGCGAATTCTATTAACTACTTAATAGTTGTTAAACCCAAAGAGATGACGACACAGATAAAAAATATTTTGCTAAACGTGCCTACAATAATAATAATAACAAAATATTAAACACCTATTTTCATTTTTGTCCAAATCCTAATCCGAAAGAACGTATTTAAAAAAAAGTTAATGGTGTAGGATTAGTGCGGCACTGTTTTGTTGAAGCAGTTCGAAAGGATGACGTCATTACAATATTTTTATGCAACGAATCCATTGTTTGTTACATAAGTGAAAAACGTAAAAACATTTGTTTAATTATTTGTCTAAATAAAAGAATTTCATCATAATATCCTATTCATTTTTTTTATAGCAACGATTGGCAATATTAAGTAAATTGTAGCGGTTAGATAAAATGTTGCCTTTATAATTATAACAGGTGCATACTTTTTTTTAAGAGGGAAAATCTTCGAATGTCTTCTCCCGCCTAAGATTGCACTAATATTATAAATGTAAAACTTTCTTTGTTTGGAAGTTTGACCGTCAATCACGTTGAAACTACTGAAAATTTCGTACACTGTCAGAGTATGGGCTGACTTACAGCCAGTTTCAATAACCTATCTATCTGTAGATTTGTTTACTAGAGATAGTATTTTGACATGAGCTCCATACAAAAAGTGTCAAAAATCTATCTCTAGCAGGCAAATCTACGGATAGATAGGTTATTGAAATTGGACGTTAGGTGATAGGATAGTTTTGTGCCAATTAAATACTCCACATTGGATAAAACAGGCATACGTGGGCAAAACCGTGGGCCTACAAAGAATAAATAGTATCATGTTAGTACGCATCTAGTTACCCATGAAAACATACTAAAGATTTTTTTATACGAGCATCAAATTTGTAAGAAGCAAATTTGTATACGTCGAGTAATAAATAGTGTACTTACATCGTAGTATTCTTTCTCACAAACCACGTAGGTCCGATAAAAGTATTCAAAATGTTTACAAGCATATTGTAATCGAAAGTGTCTAACCGAGCATACATTTTCAGTATAGAAAATTAATTAACATCTATCCGGAAATCCTTCCAAACTCACTAACTATTGAACGTGACGACAAATTCTTTATTAAAATTCACTTTATAACGACTGATCTCACCGCCAAACTGAATGAGATAGAATTACACGCCAAGTTCCTAATTGACACAAATATTTACTTCCATACAAAGTGCAAACCATCCATACTTCCGATATAATTTTGTGCGAATGTGTCCAAGAAATAAGGTCCATTTTCCTTTGAATGGATTACTGTTACTAGGTGGGTGGCCGAAAAAGGATTAGGCGGAAGTAATTATTGGCTACCGTGAGATAGTTTGAGAATATTTTGTGTAACATTTGAAAAATGGTATTTTTGTAATAATAAGGCAAATATCTCTTTGTACTTATGAAAGTGTTTTAAAAGTTATTGTTAGGTTATTTTTCTGGGATTATAAACTTATGAACAGTAGTTAAGTAGGGGCTAAGTACTTGAGTTAATCCGCGATAACAAACTGTTCAAAGTTAAATACTTCCGAGCCGAATTTGGAAAAAACTGGCATTCAAATGAATTACAATTTGTAAAGTTGACAAAAACATAATAATGTATTGTTTAGGTAATGGAATAAGTTGCTAGTAGCCTACAGTTGGATCCAAATAGTCATTTAAAACAATTCTAAATTAATTAGTTTGATGTTTGTTTTCTTTAAGAATACATTTATGTTGAATGAAAAGATTGTCGTATCCCAAAATATCACATTACGTTGTGTGTACGAATGAATGTATAACATTGTATGAGACCGGATACCACAACAATGAGCTACAGAATCAATTACATTCACACAAATACATACGCTAAGTGAGGATATAATAGCAATGCAGTAACAGTATATCAAAGAACTCCACATTTTTTCGAAGTTAGTTAAAAATAGCTTTGCTTTGGTAACGCCTGCAAGAAATGTGTCAGCAATGTTTGCAGGTAATTAGTCTTGTTGCTTATGCACAGCGTTAGGAACTAAAAATAGGTAAGCTATGACTATAAAAATAACATAACATAACATCACGCCTTTTATCGACTAAGTGGTAGGCAGAGGTGCACATTACGGCACTTAATGCCACTGTACAATGTAACACCCGCTTTTCACTATTTATGTTTCGAGCTCCATGTAATAGGGGGTGAGCCTATTACCGGGCACAATTCCAGACTCCGTGCTGAAACTGAGATTTTTTTAGAAATCCAGTAATACTTTGCCGGACCCGGGAATCTAACCCAGGATCCCGTGCTCGGTAATCGCACATGCGACCACTCGGCCAACGAGGCAGTGTAAATTATGAAAATAACATTTCGCCTTTTATTCCTTTAAGATAGGTTACTTATATTATTTATGTAATTTTCAACAGTTACCTACGTTGTGTTAAAATCTAAACTCCAAACTTCGTGGTAGGTATTAGATACTTTTTTTATATTTGATGGGCCGACGTTTGACCACTATATCACCTGGTGGTGAGCGATGATGCGGTCTACGATGAAGCACGTCACCCATAAGCAACCTATTATCTCAGGCCATGAAGACACTCAGGTTATACTTACTAATAATCTAGAATTGTAGATAATTAAAAAGGTAAATATTACACTATTCGACCCAGAATTTGAACCCTATTAGAAAACTCATTAGACGCGCTTACAAGCACTCGAGTAAAGCATCTTATAAAATCAATATACACACATGTCGTAACCACGATCCCCAGCAAAAAGAACTATACAAATTGCCGCTCTCATTGTGTTCTGGGACCGCCCGCCGTTGCACATTGTGCTCATGCGCATAAAAACTGCTTGTAAACCCATCAGCCGTCATTACCGTCCATGAAGAATGAATATAATGTTGCTTGTGGTAAAATAAATATCAATATTTAGGGGCTCATGTGTAAATGGGTTATTATGGTTTTTTTTTTGTAACTTATGGGATTTTGTTACTAGCTATTAAAGGGTTGTGGGTAATCATTATTTTTGTAACCTTTGAAATAAAAATGTGGAGTACACTTACAATGTTTTAATAAGCTTTCGCTTCGTTGAGCGAAGTTTAGTTAAGATTTTCGGAATGTACCTATTCGAGAAATTGGTTTTGGAACTGTGCCCAATGTGTAGAAATCACACGAAAATAATTTATCTTCGTCGTCATCATCATGATCAGCCTGTTAACCTTCTGCTAATGAACATAGGCCACTGCAATAGTAGGTACTGCACATCCAACCACTGCTACAGCTACACAATGCCCTTTAATTAACTGGAAAAGTATCTTAATTTCAAGCCTAATTAAGAATGCTTGTTAAATAATTATGTATAGATAACAGACTGTTCCACAATTCAATAACATTAAACGAAATGTACAAATATTCCTCTCAAGATAGAACTACAACAAACAGACAATAATATCATTGAATTCATTACATTCATCTGCGGATTGTAACAAAACCGATGTTCATGATATTACGCTTCAGTTCTTTGCAATACGTTATTAAGTCATTCATACACACACATTTTGGAGATCTCGCAAAAAAATGAGAATTTATCGAGGTCGGTACACTTACTTGCTAAATTACTAGGTCCTGTTTGAAAAAATTAAACAGTGACTGTTTCTCATGCATGAGACTGCGTGCGAGTTCGAAACCTGCTAAGTGTGTGCAACCACCAACACAGACACCACTGACAAACGGCGAAGGAAAACATCGTGAGGAAACCTGGACTTATAATTTCGAATTATAAGTTTAAAATCGCCAACCCGCGTAGAGCAAGCGTGGTGAAATGCTCAAACCTTCTTCGTGTGAGAAGAGGCTTTGCTCAGCAGTGGACACATATAGGGTGTAGATGATGATGGTGATGACACAAAAGTGTAAAGTTTTGTATGGAGAGTCGAAATTATAAATGGAATTTTCTTTAGTAGACACACACACATAGTTTGAAAGATACGATATTTCTAAAAAAACATTACACACTAGTGCCTTAACCCTAAATGTCAACTAAAGTTTGTATTAATTGTGCTCCTATATCACCAAAAGCATTGGCAGTTACTGTTATTATCTTTGAAGCATTTGCTGGAATCATGGTGTCGAAATAATGTTTTAATTGCGTTCAAAACAGTCTTATTTTGCCCTAAAATTGCACGCAAGTGTACGGTTTATTGCACGCCCAAATAACCCAGAAACCGCATTCACACGAACCGACAAACGACTAAAACGCGTATCGATGTCGCCCGCTGCGACAAATCGTACAAGAAATAGATATCACCCACAACTTCATACAATGGTCTAGTGTTGGTTTACTCGACCGTACCACAATTATGCGATTTTTTGTCGGCCATTGTGGGATATGCTCAATTGGCAGTTGACATTGTTATTAAGTTTCGTTTTGTCGCATATTATATTCTACCTACTATTCATATAGCAGTTAAGCGGAGTTTAATTTGCTGTGAAATGGCAACGGATGTGTCATACGGTTGTACCCGCCCTTCTAAAGGAAACTGATATAAAAAGTTTCGTTTGATAGCTTGCTTTTAAGAATTTTATAATTACCTTTTCGTAGTACCTATATCTGATAGATCAAACAGAAACGAACATTAACAGATGGTAATTCAAACTCGTTTAAGAGGAGCGGAATTAAAACTGAAGCTAACGAGGTGGACAATAAAATTAGGTAAATGATAATTGATGATCATTATAGAGATAATCAGGTTAATATGGAAGATATTCGTTTCCTTCCAGCTTATCCGACATGACTTTAAATTAACCCCTCGAGCGTCCTTATCCTTACTCCCGTGTCAACAACCACGATGTCACACTAGGAGTAGCGAGAGCAGTCATTGGGTGCAATGACAGTCGTGGATTGGCGTTTAGTAAATAAATAAATAAATAAATAAAATGTTTATTTCGTGTAAAAAGCCAGGTTACAAAATAAATCTTAATATCTAAACAAAGTCTAAAAATATGTGAAACCTGAACTAGGTC